AAGGAGAGGGAGAGAGAGAGAGACAGAAACATCAATGATGAGAGAGTCATTGATCGAGCCCACAACCCAGGCATGTGCCCTGACCGGGAATCGAACCCCGATCGCCTGGATCCCAGGTCGACGCTCAACCGCTGAGTCACGCCCGGCCGGGCCCCCCACTTTCTAGATGTTCAGTTTATATTTATTTTTAAAACTTGAAGCTAAAAAATTAACTAGATGAGGGATCTCAGAGGGAAGGGGGGTGGGGGAGTGGGTGGGGTGATATTAATCTAAGAACTTATATGCATAATCTTTGGACACAGACATTGGTATGGGGACAGCCTGGAGGTGGGGTGGATGCGGGGTGGAGGGAATCAATGGGGGAAAAAGGGAGGGACATCTGTAATACTTTCAACAATAAAGGTTAAGAAAAAAAAAAACGAACTAGAAATTTTTACTATTATATTCTTTTTGGTCACTCTATTTTGATTCTCATAAGATTCCATATTAGTCATGCTTGTCGACTGTCACACTTGTCTCTGTGTTGCTGAAATCATGTCATTGAATTTCTCCTTCCTCTGTGTCTTGTGAGATCCTTTTTCTCTGTTGATATTGAGCAAATATACTTGGAACCATTGTATATCTATCTTTTTCTTTCAGGCAAGAGCAGCTAAACTCTCTGAGTGCAGCCAGGCTGCTGAGGAGGAAGAGGATCAAGAAACACCTTCCAGAAATCTGAGGGTCAGAGCAGATCGAAATTTGAAAACAGAGGAGGAAGAAGAGGAGGAGGAGGAAGAGGAAGAAGAGGAAGAAGAGGAGGAAGAAGACGATGAGGGACTAAAATCTAGGGATGCACCAGTTCTCAAACAGCTTGAGGAAGAAGAGGGGGAAGAGATGCCCAGAACAAAACCAGAAGAGCTGATGGACGAGAGATCCCAAACCATAAGATCCCAGGAACAGGAGGGGTTGGAGAGGGGAGGGAGAGTTACAAGGTCCCAGGAAGAGGCTAGTAGAAAAAGTCATCTGGCCAGACCTCAGCAGGAGAGAGAGATGAAAACAGCTTCTCCCCTTGAGGAAGAAGGAAGAGAATTAAAACCTTCAAAAGGCTTGGAGGAAAAATCAAAGTCCCCTTCCCCTCCTCAATTGACTGAAGATCTGGAGAAGGCCCCTCTTATGCTACAACCAGAGCAAACTGCCAGTGAGGAGGAGACTCCCCCACCTTTACTTACCAAGGAAGCATCTTCACCACCACCTAATGCACAACTTCAGAGCGAAGAAGTAGAGCCCATGGAAGGCCCAGCTCCCCCTGTTCTCATTCAGTTATCTCCTCCTAATACAGATGCTGAGGCCAGGGAGCTATTAATATCTCAGCATACTGTCCAGTTGGCGGGAGGCTTGTCTCTCTTGTCAAGCCCTGCAGACACCAAAGCAGAATCCTCAGCAGAGAAAGTTCCAGAGGAGAGTGTCCTGTCTCTAGTTCAGAAAAGCACACTAGCTGAATCCTCAACCCAGAAGGGTCCTGAAACTGAGTTAGGCAAATCTGCTCCACCACTCCCTCTAAAAATTGAGGAAGTAGCGCCTCCCAAAGGGATCACTGAGGAATCTCTGAAACAGCCGTCTTTGGAACAAAAAGAAGGCAGAAGGGTTTCTCATACCCTTCTCCCAAGCCACAGATTGAAACGGTTAGCTGACTCGTCCTCTAGCCGGTCCTCCTCATCTTCATCTTCCAGTTCTAGATCAAGATCTCGGTCTCCTGATAGTTCAGGCTCTCAGTCTCACTCACCTCCAAGATCTAAGAAGAGAGATGCATCTCATGCCAACCCTCGTGGTAGTTCCAAGATGGGCTCCAGATCAACATCAGAGTCTAGGTCACGTTCCCGTTCTCGTTCACGTTCAGCATCAAGCAACAGCAGAAAAGTAAGTGTGGGAGTATCCTGGGTGCATTGATGTTCTGTCTGTATGCTGGTGTTTTTCAATCCTAGGAAAACCTATTTTCTGGCAGAAATAGGAAAAGCTTCCTTTAGTCCTCAGTTCAGTGATTATTTCCCCCTCATTTCAGAGTCTAATTTTCAATTCATTGATCCCTAAATAGGGTCCTTTTTTAATTTTGAGCCTCTTTGGTTCCAAATATAAGAATTTTAATTTTTTTTTTTTTTTTTTAGTTCATTTATCCATCTCTTTCACTAGACTGTAAACTTCTTGAGGCTATGGACATGCTTCTTACATGTGTATTCCAGTACCCAGCACCTAGTGGGGCTTAATAAGTAATTTTTTGAATAATCTAAGAAGTCAGGGAAGCTACTAACTCAAACAGGAATAAACACAGGGACAAAAAGGTTGAAAGTATTAAATTGGGTCAGCAGAAGTTGGAAAACTCAGTGATCTACTGAACATATACCACATAAAATAATATGCCTTATGTGTTTTCGTTTCTTCAGTCTCTGAGCCCTGGAGTCTCCAGGGACAGCAGCACCAGCTACACTGAAACCAAAGATCCCTCTTCTGGTCAGGAGGTTGCAACTCCACCAGTGCCACAACTGCAGGTCCTTGAGCCAAAGGAGAGGACTTCCACCTCATCCTCTATTCAAGTGAGGCCTATGAGCCAACCTGAGCCAGCCGAAAAGCATGTGACTCAGAGGGTACAGCCTGAGCGGGTACGCTATTATACCCTCTCCCTAGAGGGAGAGAGAGAATTAGGCATGATTTTCCCTTTTGTCTTAGCTATAAAACTGAAAGGTCAGTCTGAACAAGGTTCATTAGAAATGTAGAAGGCTGGGGATACCTGTTAGATTTCACTTAACTCATTTTTAATTCCCTGGTTCGTGAGGCTGAATTCTCAGCTCCAAGGCTCTTGGGGTCAGTTCTTCCACAGAACTTCTCCATTTTTCTGCTCAAAAGGAAGCATTTTCTTGGTTCTCTCAAAAGAATTCTAATAAAATTATTGCTGGCATGGAAATTATTTAAGCAATATTCCATTCTGCTTTATAAAATGGTATAACAAAGATATATAGAGCTGTGTGTGGAGTTGGTACAGTGTATATCCTTCTATGCCTTTAACCAGCTCCAGGTTAAAGAAAAGGAATGCAGCAGATTTAAGTATGTTGCTATGTTTGTTTTGCTATGTTTGTCCTGACAGGAGAGCCCAAAGAAGTGTGAAGCTGAAGAGGCAGAGCCACCAGCTGCCACACAGCCCCAAACCTCAGAGACTCCGACCTCTCACCTACCAGAATCAGAAAGGATTCATCCCACTGTGTAAGTGATACATCTTGACTGGGGTATAACAAGGAACTAGGAGTGTGCGATAGTTCTTTGCTCCGTAGGGTTCTTTGACTAAGCTGTCCTAGTTTCCTTTTAAAACATGAAGGCAGAGCTTTATCTGGACAAAGGCTAGACTTCAGTTCCTGTGTTGGGAGCTGCCACCAGAACTCTTAAGTTAGTCTGAAAAATGGTGGTGAGAGCATAAAGAAACACATATCTGGGATTATTTGACTAAAATAGTTGATTTCCTTTAAGGAGCAGGCAGCAGAGTCTTGTTTCCAAACTCAAGACAGTGTGAGGGAATTGACCCAGGACATCTTAACTCAATCTTTAACTCCCATTTACCAGCTACGTTTAAGCCTGGGAATACAGGTTAATAAAAGGTATTGAGGGTCTACAAAGAAAGATACAGGAGGGTGCTGCTGCTTTGTTTTAGTTTCTGTACTTTTCTTGTTTATCACTCGTCATTTTATTAGACACATTTATGTTAACTGTTACAGCATATAGCAAAATATGAAGTCCGTTTCAAGTCCAAAGTTTATTCTTGGTCTCTAAGATTCTTGAATTGATTTTGTCTTGTAGACAATGTGAGTTTTTTATTCCTTGTATTTAGTTCTAGAAAAATACTCATATCAAATTAAATTTGTAATTGGACATTCGTTATTCTGAGCTAGGCATTATAAATTAAGAAGCCATTGAACCAAAATTCTGGTTTCAGATTCTCACAGGAAATGAAAAAGAAAAGCATTGTGGAAATAAGATGCTTAGTTTTTAGACATCAGGAATCTGGTACTGCTTTGGTGAATGTTCTATATAGACTATATAGACAGTTGACCTAAAGTTGTTCCATGATTGTTTCTATGTAATTTTAATGCTATACTACTAGCATGATTTTTTCCTTTATGTAAAAGTCTAATAACTTACACTCTTCTGAGAACGTTAGACTATCCTTTTACTTTTGATTTTGGAGGGTGGTGGGCAGGTGACATGATTTTATTATCTCATTTTTTTTATGACTTTAATAATAGTTCTATACTCTTGACTATATAGCTTTTGCCTTGGTAATACTTACCTTGCTACTGTCCGTTCCAATATTCTTGCCTCTGCTGCCATCTTGTGGCCATTACGTTTTTTATTTGAAACCAAAAGTTCATTCTTCCTTTGAAAAGTTTTTGTTTTTCCTTTTTGGGATGAGTATATTCTCCTTTGGAAAGGGTTTTTCTTCTAGGACCATAAAGTGAGAACCCAGCGGATTCTGGAAGGTGTTCAGGATTTCCCCAGCTACACCATCGATGAGGAAATGGGGTGACACCTTCCCTTCCATGTCCATCATCCAAAGAGAATACTTGCCTCCCCATCCCTATCCCATGGGGTACAGCATGTCCTTTGCATAATGGCAGTTTGGAAGTAGATGTTGACAACCTGCTACTAATTGGGCATGAGAAACTGCCTCCTATGCATCTTGAGAAGCAAGTGATTTTCTAAAAAGCTCTTTGCTTGCCCTAAAATTCTGTGTGTCTATGAGATCCTGGCAACAGAACAGCACTTTATGCTGTTTTGAAGCAACTTTATTTCTGTACTTTAGCATGCAGTCCAGGGCAAGTGAGGCTTGGAGTCATATGTAATTTTTCTCCCCAGTTAAAGGTAGCTTTGATCTTCATTTTATGACTAAGATAATCTAGTCTACATGATTCTGGCAAGGTGATATAGACACGTGACACTTTGGGCAAATACTGAGATTGTCCATTGTTGCATAGGCAAGGTTCAGTGGAACAGCCTCTAGATTAGCAATGCAATGTGAGTTTAGGAGTAGTTCACATACATCCCTCTTACCTGCTTTCCTTCTGCCTACCTTGCATCTGGGATTGGATTTGGTAAATGAATCTTTGAGAAGGTTGCCTATATTTCTGGAGGCCTTGGTACAACACTCTTGGTCTTTCACCTCCCCCCCTACCCCCACCAGTTCTATTGTTCATCTGGGTGACTTCAGGAACCATGACGCATTTTAAAAGTGGGATCAACAGTATTACATGGAAAAGACCATTTGTGACAACCCTGGTTTTGCTCTGTTTTAATAAGAAGTCACATGACTAATAAAAATAGAGCCTAGGGCCTATTGATTAAGTAACTAGGTCCTATTGATTCAGTAATGTGTTAAAAAAAAAAATTAGACTTTACTTCAAGGACTTCTCACCACTTGGAAGAGATTGCCTAACTTTTATGCTGTGCTTGGTTAAATCCATTCTGATTCTGATTGTGCCCTGAGGAATTCTAGATTTATGAGGTAAGGTACCTTTTTCATTGCTTGGAGCAGGAATTTGTGAGCCGCAGTTCTGTTTCAGTTGAGCCCTATTCCAAAATACAATCTTCTGCCTGCTATGAATATAACAAAAATGTCCTCATACAGCAAAAAATAATGATACTCTTTTTTTACATTTCAAAAAAAAATAGAGGGGGGAAAAAAGACTTTATATGTGAGCAGTAGTTAATTCAAACCTGAATTTTTCTAAAGACAGCCTTACTGTGTGTATAAACCTTGCAATAGCAATTTAGGGCTTTTTGCCTGAGTAGGAGGAAGAAAATGGCCCTTTAAGCCAATATGACAGTGTAATTATACTCCCCAGGGACCTACAGTGCCACTATGCCAATTGATGCATAATAAAAAAGTAGAATTTATTGTCATCAGTAGAGTTTGCTCATTGAGAAGTTGGTATCTAAGGACATATCCGCTAAACTCATACTAACCTTGGTTATCTTGGAACTAGTATGCTCCTAAGAGTGTTCTGTATTTAAATCTCACTGCCTGGTGGTCAAGTCCTATTTCTTAATAACTTTCACATCACCTCCTCATGAATTTTCTACAAAAACTAAACTTCAAACATAAACTTATAAAATTTCCTTTTCCATTAGCCTCTCTGAATCTCATTCATATTCAGTTATTAACTGTAGTGTGAGGTTATTAGCCTCCAAGTAGTCCTATCCTTCTGGGTTATAAATGCTTCTGAGCTATTTAATTATGGATAGGTAACCCCCTCCACACACACCCTAACCCCTATGTAATTTCACATATATTTCAGAGTTATGAGAAACATTTGTGTGAGAACTTAAATAAGTGGGAAGCTAGATGCCTTTGTCCTTTTAGAGACTATAAGGAAAAGCTGTGTGGGGCTCTGACATTTAGCTAACAAGGCTTTTGGACTGGTCTTGCAAATAGATTGAGTCCCTTTTTGGGGCAATTTCAAGGATTCTTTCTTTTAAAGCCTTGGGAATTTTGGTATCCCACAGAATTAATCATGGGGAAATAGCACAAACTTGCTGTGCCTTAAGGCCAAGGATAACATGGTAAAATACTTATTTTAAAAAGAGGTAAAATTCCCAGTAAAAGAACTTTTTTTTTTTCCTCCAAGGAAACTTCTTCTGGAGAGGGCTATTGGCAGCTGAAAGTGTTTTAGGACAGTTGATGGGCAGGGAGCATTTATTTGAGAATATTTAAAGGTAACATTATTTGTGGGAATTCTAAACAAAACAATTTTTTAAGAAGAAAACTTTTAGGTCAGCAAGCACTTATTAAAGTGTCCACTTGATACCCACAATGACAACCTAATTCAGAAGTATTTACTGAACATTTCTTTGTGTTAGGCCTTGGGCTAGGCGCCAAGGGATGCAGTCCCTGACCCCGAGGAACTCTGCAGGATGGAGGTTGAGGGGCAAGTAAACCAGTGGTTATACAGAGTGATAGGGTATTGCGGAAAACCGGTCAGGCCAATTACTGAAAGCCTTTGTATCAGAGAAAGAGCATTCCACTGTGAGGGGGGAAAAACTCCATAGGTGACATCAAATGAGATAATGGCCTATTAACCAGACATGTGTTTATGCACATCCTTACCTCAACTTGGGTTGTCGTTCAAACCAGACCCTTAAGTGTGAACCCTTATTATACTGTTCCTCGACATATGTATTGTTGTTATCCCCACTTTATAATTTAAGAAGGAAAAGCACAGAAAGGATTAGGAACTTGCCCAGTATCACACAACTTGTATGGGTGTGGGACCAGGGCCAGGATTGGGCCCTAGTCACTTTGACTCCAAAGTTCTCAATCTTACTGAGGAGACTGGGAACCTTTACGGTAATGTATAAAATAAACTACATGACCTCTTTAGTATTCATTTGGCATGTAAGTTTAAGATTTTAAGCAGTAGGGAGGAAATTTTATTCTTGCCTAAAAGCTCTGATATAGCAAATGAGATGAACACTAAGCTTTTGGTTAAGTACCGAGAAGCTTGTCCTAGAGTTAAACCTCTACTACCACTAGGATACCAAAAGACCATCTTTGCAGTCCACAAATGATTATTTTTGAGCATCTGCTGAGTGTTTTATGAATGGTTAGTCAGCTTCCCATTTCACATTTAGGCTGGTGAAGATGCCCATAATAATTTCCACTTAGTTCCCAATCACTTTCTGCCCAGCAGATCGCCCACACCCCCTATAACTGCTCTCTCATTTCCGTTTCTTATCCAGAGCCCTCACCTTGGAGCCCTTACTCCAAGAATTGCCTCCTTGCTTCAGCTACCCAAGGTCCCCTTGCCGTTTATCCTTTTCTGTCTCCAGTGGGCCCTGGGGCAGGGTGACCTTATTAAAGACTCTATGAAACAAAGTTGTCTGTCATCTCTTCAGAGACTCCTCTTCCACCACGCCACCCACCCCCACACTGGTCATTCAAAAAGGAACTCTTGTCTGCTTGTTCACTTCCAACATCCCTGGAGAAAGCACAGGCAGGAGTAGAAACACATCAATGCTTGGGATGAGCAACCAGTTACTGTAGTGATTGGATAGTGCTAATTCTCATCCCACCTTTACCAGCTGACTGGCTGATCTGGTTTCAAGGTTTCATGCCTGGTTTTTTGAAGAGAGGAAGGTGGGCACATAAAAAATTGCGTATGACCCTCCATTCTGTGTCTTTTTCAACTTTGGCATTGTTATCTGCCCTCTTTAATCGTTTTTCACTCCCTGCTCTGCAGTTTTCCTTGCTTCTGTTCTCTGGAATCTTCCAGGCAAGCAGCTGTAACTTTGTCCTCTCTACCCAGCCCCCTCCCCGCCCCCTGGGAAGACAGGGAGAGAGCACCCTCTCCCAGCGGGGTTAGGCCTTGGTAGCTGTTGTAACCTGAGAAAAGAAGGAAAAAGGCCAGACCTATTGAGCCAGCAGTGAGCTCCCTGTGGCCTGCCAGCGGATAAGAACCTTGCTCACTCAGCGCCCTCCCTCTTTCCTTTCCCCTCCCCTGCTGCAGCAGGGCCCTCCCCCATCCGCACACACGGGCTGCTGGGTAAGTGGCAAGATGGCTCCCCTGCATGTCTCCGGCTGATCGCCGCTGCTCCGCTAATACAATAGAGCCAGCCACTACCAGCAGCCTGGCCCTCTTCCTCCTCCTCCTCCAGAGAGACCAATCCAGCCGAACTCGGGGTTTGCCGTGAGGACTTAACGCTTATCTCTTAAAATCCAGATCTATTTTAGCCTCCCCTCACCACCACCACCACCTCCCTTTCCATTTACCATTTTTTGGATCCCCAGTTGCTCCATCTCGATTTTCTCGCTCTGGATCGGGTGGCTGGGGAGGAGGTGGTGGGATCTTGGGACAAGGAAGGTGTTTTGTTTTTTGTTTTTTTAATTTTTTAGGATTTTTTGTTTGGTTTTTGTTATTTCTTCCATTCCAGAAAGGGATAAACAGCACTTCCAGGGGGAGAAAAAAAAATCATGTTATCAGAAAGCAAAGAAGGGTGAGAGCTTCACATTTCCATGTATCCCCCTTTCCCCACCGCTCTAGCCCAGCTCGTCTTCCTTCTCTTCCCCTTGGCTTTCATTCCCTCTTTCGTTTTGGTTTGTTTTCAATCATTCTGTTTTCCCCCTTTGTCCTTCCTGCCTGATTTCTAATTGGCCCCACTTGTCCTCTCCCTGTGAGAAATAGGTATTTTTTGGATAAGCTTTTTTTTTTAGATTTAGAGAGTTGAATCTTGTGTTTCTGTGGGGGCCTGTTAACTGGGGGCACAGTTCCGATTTCCCCTCCCCCCATTCCTGTGCATCCCTCCCTGCCTGCTCTGGGGAAGCTGTTCTGACCTCTGAGTGTCAGTCAGCCTATCGGGAATGCTGAATTTCCTGGTGGTGGTTATCAGCCTGGGGAGGTTTGGTTTTCCTTTTGAGACTTAGGCCCCTGATCATCTCATTTTGATTTTTTTTCATTTTTTATTTTTTTACCCCAGTGTTTGGGTGGTACTAGGGGTGAGATTAGAGGTAGAAGTTAGGGATGAAGACAGAAAAGAAGAAGGGAAAATAGTTTATCTGAAGTGAGTTTCTGGGGTTCATTGCCTGAAATGGGAGATAACTTGTGTGATTGGGGGATGGTGGGTTCAGTATTTGTGGGGGCAAGATGCATGGTATGGGGGACGGTGTGTCCTGACTGGGAGGCCTACTCTCTTTATCTCTTGGAAGTTGGAATGAGGGAATGGGAGAAACTGGGCGAAAGCAGAATGTAAGAACAATTCCTACACCTCTGAGCAGGTAAAAGTGGCCTGATTTCTTCTCTGAGCTTTCATACTCTTCAGCAGTTTTAGTTTTTCCTTTTAAGACGAGAGGGTTCTTGTTGAAGCTTGAACCCTCACCAGCCCTACCTTCCTTACAGTCCCCACCCCCACCATCTCTCCATTCCTGGTGTCTCCAGATCCTATGGGTCAGTAGGCCTTTACTTATTAAGCAGTTGGTTAAATACAAGGTTGGGATCATTTGCCACTGCCATGGTCATTCTCCAAGAATCAGGCTTCCCTTAGTTTGTCATATAGTTTTGTTAAATAAAGGTGCCTGTGGCCAGGGGACCGAGAGGCCACAAGGTTGTGGGCAAATCACAGTCACTTTTGAGGGACTGTTTTGGGTGGGGGGAGGGTGCTGTTTCTCATCATGTAAGAGTACTTTGGTTAATTACCTAAGAACAGTTGGGAATCCTGACCCAGCAATAACAGTTTTATCCCATCTGGGCAGTTGGTGAATGTGGTTGCTCTGATCTATGCACTTCCCCAAGGAAAACTGTTTCCCACTTTTCCTGAGGGAAAAGCAGCTCTCCCAGCCCACCCAAGTGATGAGGCATGGGAATTTCCTGACCCCAAACCTAACATTTTGTTCTCTCTTCCCCTTGGTTCTTTCCTGCCCTTCCCTCCCAACCTCTCCCTATACTGTCAGTGAGGAGAAGGAGGAAGTGACCATGGATACAAGTGAAAACAGACCTGAAAATGAGGTGCCAGAGCCCCCCATGCCTGTTGCAGACCAAGTCAGCAATGATGACCGCCCAGAGGGCAGTGCAGAAGATGAGGAGAAGAAAGAGGTAAATCTTCAAGCTGCCCATTGGGGTGGGCGGGCAGGAGTGGACCTAGGGGAAAGAGTGGACCGCTCTGGTGATCCCTCATCTACAGTTGGATAGCTAAAGTAGGGGATAGGCAGAGACTCCTGTCAGAGTAGGGCCAAGGGAGAGTTCACTGGTTTAGCAAGGGAAACCCCTTGTGATGCGGATAGGGTTCATTCTTTCCCTTTTCTTGATGGGGAAGTAATGTAGTCCAGACTCTGGAAGTTTGTAACTAACGGGAAAGTCAGTTAATGGCCCTTTAAGACTGGGACTCACCTTTCCCAGCTACCTTCTCCAGCTTTTCCCTGTGGGAACTCCTTTAGCTTTCCCTCCTTTTTAAAAGTCTGTTGTAGCTAAACGCCATCTAGTGGGCTTTGGTGGTTCTCAGATGACCGGCCATCCTGAGGAATTTTTGTTCATCATCTGCCCCCAAGTGGTCTCATTGCAGAGATGTAGCTACTTAGAAACCAGCACCTGGGGTGATTCCAAAGTCCCCTTCTCCATTTCCATAACTCCTCTACGTCCTTTTTTGGCATATGTATTGTCTAGTGTCCTGCGCCCAATTCAGGGGCCTCCCCCATCAGAGCTAGCAAAAGTCTACTTGGCTCTTCAAGTAACAGAAAGAATTAGCTGGGTTTGGGAGTGGGGTAACAGGGTGGGAGGGACTGTTGTGTGTGTAGCCTTTCTTTGGTGTGTGTTGCGGGGGGTGGGGGCCGGTGAAAGTGATTTGATGTGCAGAATATTATTTATTACAAGGTCCTTCTTAAAACTTTGTCCAAGTACCTCATGTACGGTAATCCGCCCGTAAAATATAACCCTGCCCAACTGGCCAATCGCTGATGCCGCCTCTTCCTCTGGACCCACCCGCTGCTACTGAGCTGCCCAATCAGAGCCGAGTCTGCTGTCCAGGTGTCTTGGCCAGCGGGGGGCATGTATATGGGATCCTGTGATGGGCCCCCTTTTGCCTCCCTGCCTTGCTTACATCAGGGGGCCAAGAAGAGCACTGTTCTGGAGAGACTTGTATTGAGAAAGCAAAAAGCATTTGGAAAGGGGTGGACTTGCACCATCTCCCTATTTGGGACACCCCAAGAAGAGCTTGTGTCAGTGCTGGGGCGCCTGCTCACATGCCCTTACCCTTTTGAGGACTGTGGGTTACCTTCTTTGCTACAAACTGCTGTGATCCCTGTCTAGGGCACCAAGACCTAAAGAGTCAATGTTTGTCATCACAATGCGATGCTGTAAAATACCGAGTGGGGCTCTCTGCTTAAGCTGTGACGACTAGGAACCCTGCAGAGAAGTCTAGGGTCTGAGCCCAGGGATTTAATGCTGATGACAGCCCAGCCCTGTATCACCACTTCCTCATCAGATGGACTTTCCTCTGGTCCGTGTTGTCCATGGTGAAGGGCAGCATGTTGGTTGCTCGAACTTCTCCTCCATCCCTGGAGGCAGGGGCTTATCCATCCACCTGACTGGAACCACTGTCTCAGCTGGAGTCCCTGAAGAGATGCCACACACAACTCTCAGAAGAAAAGCATTCTGACCTTGTTGCTGAATGTGTGCCAGGTCCTGGGGCTATCCACCTTCTACCCCAGGCTGCCTTCATCAGAGGCTCCATGATCCCACTCGGTGAGAGGACCCCCCTCCCCAGTTACAGGCAGAGGAGAAAGGGACTCTGGAGTCATCACCAGGATTCCAAGTATTGGGTGGTGGTATTGCTGCAGCTTGCCACTGGTGGACATAAGGTCCTGCCTGCCTCTCACGATAAAAGGCCAGGACCATTTCTGCTGCTCACAGGCCATCTCATCAGGGACTGCAAGATGATGCCCCTACAGGGCTGGGACTGATGTCTCTGCCCCTTTTCCCCCCTGTACCCCTGGCTGAGCCTGGCCACCACCAGTGAACTGTCTTGACATCATGGAAACTGGGCAGCGTCCCCCTACACGTTT